ACGCCCAGACAATTAACTCTTCAATCGACTTGCCAGCCTCTGTAAAGCACTCCGGTCCCCTCTCTGTCTATCTCCAGTTCTATTCAGACACTTAAGCACACCAATGTTTTTTGTTTATTATTCTGAAAAAGTCCTTCACAAGAATAGTCGGAGCGGATCAACATTGTCCTCCCAGCAGCATTTATCTCCGCCTGGCAGTGAATGCGTCAATCAGGAATCAAAAAGCCAAACAGAGGAGGCTTTGAATTGTGTCACGGGGGTCAGAGTTACTTCCAGCTGTCTGTGCGTGGGATAGGCTTTCTCGCAGGGCAAAGAATTGTGCTGCCATACAAATGCACTGACTACATTGGACCACAAAGTCCTCGGGGCTTGAGTGGCTTTTTTCATGTTGACGCACCTGCAAGGGAGATGTGAGGAGGGAGCGACAGGGCGGGGGGGGGAACTAATGCTTTCCAGAAGGCGCAGGGGAAGGCTCCTCATCCTATCTGGATGGTGCCTGGAATGCAGTGTTGCAGTAAACACTGCCTATGTCTGTACAGCATACAGAATAGTTGATGGAGGAAGGGAAAAATCACTGCAGTGACAGTGCAAGTCAAACTTGGCAGTTAAGAGCTCCTTAAGCCATACAGAGCCCTTTCATGTTCAGCACTTAGGCACATTTTCATCTTTTTAAGCAAAATTTTTCCATATTTTGGTCTGTGTCCAAGTGTTTGTGGGTTGTTATATCTGAAGGGAACACATTGTTGCTGTTTCTTAAAATGAAGGCAATAAAGAATGAGAACTTGCTTTTGCTAATTTGGTTTAAAAAGTTGGGTTTTTTCTTAACAGCTGTGGGATCTCCGTGCATAGAACTGGAAAAGGGTGTGAAAACCTGGCAGGGAAGTCTATCTGCACTGGTGCATTTCCATTTCAGCTGCTTGGCAAGAAATTATCTTGATTTGGCTGAGTTGTAAGAATTTCACATTTCTTTGGCATAGCTGCTAGCTTTCTGCATTTATATTGGCGATATATGTCTCTGCATAAAAGTTGCATAGACTGTTAAATAAATTATGACTTGCTGAAACTCTTTCACTTGATGTAAGGAAGGATTGTGATTAAGGCAACAATTTGCTCCACCCCTACAATACTTGAAGGGACGTGTATTTTTGTGTAAGACCCCTATATAGTGCAAATACAGTTTTTGTTGTCTTTTTTTAATACTTCAAACAACACCCCCAAGCCAGGGGATAATACGTAGAAATGTCAAAGTTGTAAAATTACATCTTCAAGATTCAGGAACTGCACAGATATAAAGGGAGCTTGAGTTGACCTGGCAGGTCTTCGTTGCATCTGACCAGTTACTAAAGCTACAGAAAGGTGTATGTATGACTTAAGTCCCTCAGGAGTGCTCAAGCCTAGGAAAGTTCTCCCTTCCTGTTGGTTTGACAGACTCACTTAAGGTGGGCTTTGCTACATTGAACAGGACATGCTAAGAATTCACGCATTGTCCTGGCTATCTGTGCTCGAAGTTGCCTATTTAGCTTCAGCTACACTCTGTAATGGCTCACCCAAAAACCAGATGATGGTAAACAAAGGAACCACGTGACACTGGACAAAGGCTGCCTCCTCCCAGGGCAGAGCTATGCACTTAAAATTGTCATCCTCTTATTCTATCGGGCTGACTCAAAAGTCTGAGAACCCTTGATGTTCAAGCTGTAGACTTACAAAAAAGACTAGATTTTGTACAAGGCCTGGATGGTTGACCCCATAAAAACTAGCGCTTTTTAAAATGGTAGAAATGTTTACAGAATGTCTCATGGATTCCAGTGAGAACACAAAGGTGGTATACTGAAGGTTGAGGTTGCTTAGGAAGAGTATAGATCTTAGTCTCTCAACGTGGTGATACAAGTATATAGATGACTTTTGCAGTGGGTATATTTTCCCAGGTAGGAGATGCGATACAGGAGGTTAATTCCGTCACCTAACTTCCCCCTTTCTTCAGCTTCCATTAGATGGGTTGAGGCAAGAGCAGTGATTCACAGCAGCAGGCAGTTACTTCACATTTTTCTGTAGTAATTTATGTTTTTTCTATGTCAGGGAGTTTACTTTTCCCCAGACATAACTGGAGTTGCTCGTGGCCTCAGTGCCTGTCGTTCAGAGTGAAAAGATCATTTTAACAGTCGTCTTTCACATGAACTGAATCTCCTTGTCCCTTAACCCCAGTGTACACTGCAGTCATTCCAGATGTGGATGCTTGCTAGAAATTCTGCAAGGATAAGGGAGGGAAGTCCTAGTGGGAGCATAAAGAGTTCTTGCCCACCATTAGCAATAGTTCCGAGTTATTGTCAGGCTAACATAACAAAAAGTTTTCTTAAGCTTACGAGCCTCTGACAGTGGTAGTGCAAGTGGGCTGCTGGCTTATAGCCATGGTATCTTAATGTGAAAATGGCTTAGGAGAGTTGTTTGGACCTGCCTGTTTCACTCTTACCAGTGATAAGATAAAAATACCATTTTCAAGTTGACACCAGTTGAGCCAGAAAAATCAGTTCAACTTTTGCAAGTGTACCCTAGGAAAAGGAGGCTCACTGGGAAGGGGTTTCATGGCTTTAAAACTATGTCCCATCACCGGTATTCTGTTAAGTGATTCTGTCTGTATTTGGTGCTTGTCTTGGAAAAACACAGTGGGTATTCATGCTGGCTTGTAAAACATGGAAGGGAAGCATGCCAATGCACTCTTCATCAAGGCTCTGAGAATATTCTGCAACCAAGGGAAATTATCTTTGATGGTTCTGCAGTACGTGAGTTCCTGATCTAGAAGCATTGCCATCTAGAGGGATTAGGAAGCACTTACTTGACCTCTTTGATCCCTCTGTTTGTGACACGCTCTGCATGAGGAACTATTGCAGTTACACGCCTTTTTTGAAAGCGTGGAATTTAATAGCTTTTTGAAGAAAGGAATAGATCATACTTGAACATATTTAATGACCTTTGGCTCCAAAGTAACAATATCCTGTACATCTCATATAATATCACAGCAGACCCCAGCTCTCTGAAATAACTTGTTTTTTCTCTTCTGTGTTAAAATGCTTCTTTAAGGAATACAAAATATGTGTTCAAAACTTTCAGGTATGTAAAATAGAACTTACTCCTTGTTTACCAGGAGCAAAGAGGCCAGTGGAACAAATGTTCAGTGTGATGAATGGTGTATTGGGCGAGAGGAAAAATCAAATGAGAGTAGACGAGTATTAGGGTTGTTCTTCTGCCCAAAGGGAACAGCAGTGAAACTTTTTGCCATAAGCTAATTTGAAACACTGAGACCTACTGAGAATTCTCCAGTTTAAGAAATAAATTTGGTAGTTTCAGAGTAAGAAGCTGGCAGCTGGGAAGTGAGAATGGTGTTTTTAATAAAGTGCAATTTTTGTCTTATGTGACTATTTCATGACCTTTAAAAAAATGAATTGGAAATATCTCTGCTTTTGATTTTTTAAATATGATGAATTTAATTACAGGTCTCTTGTCTATTGCATTTTTTTTCTTGTATGTGTGATGAAAGCACTATACTTGCTTGAACAACAGGGGAATAATTATACTTCCATCTATTTGCAAAACCCTTAACACTGTACTGGGTGCTGCTGCAATGTGGACTTAGTGACAATTTGGCCTTAGTAACTCAGTGAGGAAATTACTGTGTAGTTCACAGCCATTTTACTGAGATGATCTTAAAAATAAAACACAGTTCAAAGGTTAGTTTGGTATTTTTGTTTATTTGCTGCATTTATTCTGTCACTGTTTAATACCCTTCAGTAGCTTAATGGCTAACTTTATACAAAAACTGCTACAAAATTCTTTTTCTTTAAGAAGAATGTATTTCCCAAATTGTAAGTGCTACTGTCTCTGTTCTTCACACACACACAAGAACCTAAAAGAAACCCCCTGAACCTGAAGCGTCCCAAGTTCTGCCAAAGTTCACATAATGGTTTGGATAAAAAGTGTTGTGGCTCAGATCCACTTCTGATTTTTCTCCATTGTTGGCTTCTGGGTTGCTGCTTTAAATCTGAAAAGCAGTTCTGTAATTACTTGGTGCAGAAGCATTAATGAGAACAACAGGAATAAACTTATTATCATGCTGGTAATTTTTTTTATGTGAGGTCTCTTCCTATTTTATATAACTTAAGAATTATTCACCTTTCCAGTTGTTCTATGAGTATCTTTTGCAGTTTTGGGTTGGTTTCTCAATCTGTAAAGCAAATGATACTGATTACATACTGCTCACTGCTTCATTATAGTGTGAAGTGTCATCCTAAATAAATAAAATGTCATAGCTGTGGTTTCTGGGATCTTGTAGAAGCAGAGCAGCCTATTCTGACAAAAAAGTAAAGATCAACTATTCACTTTTATCCAGAGATTTCTTTGAAGGGCAAAAACTTCCTAAATTAAGCAAAATCTGGGAAATTTTTCTAAGAAAGCAATTGCTCAAACTTTTAAAGAAAAATACTGCTTATCCGTATTACTGGTACTACCCAATAACAGGAAAACTCTTGTTCTGAGTTGACTGAGGAATGGTAAGTATTTTTTCTTCCAAATATTTTTTGCTATGCTTATAATTAAGCATAAAAACAAATACATTGATCAAGAGGGAAAATCACAACAGGATCTCTTGCTTGTTTCTGTCAACCTCTTTACTTCAGTGGATCTCTGAGGTTGAAATGAAATTACCAGCACATTTTTTCTATCTGTGAATTAGATTGCTTTCTGTGGAAATGCACAAAATTAATGATCTGTGGAAGAGGTGTTCAGGCTTTTGCTCACTGTATGAAACTGCAAATACAGGTATTGGTGGAAAAATAGTTTACAAGGCTCTGTTTTCCATCTCTGCCCTTCCCTTCCCCTTCCAATGGTCTTTTACTTTTGTAATTGGAACCAATATAAGGGAAGGCTGAGGACAGTTCTTGCTACTTCTATGAGGATCTGTCCCATGCACCTTTCTTCCCAATGGCTTCTGCCCTGTGCATCTGATACAGTCGTGGAGACAGTGGCAAGCATGGCTCTTCTGGCATAAACTTGCCCCTCCAACTGATTTTTGCTGTGCAACTTTCCAGTTTAGGTTACTGACAACTTTGCTGATACCTAGTGTCATCTTTGTCCATAATATATGCAAAAAATAGTTGTTACAAATTGTAAATTTTTAAAGTGGCTATATTCCAAAAAGGGAAAAAAAAACCCCACAATTCTAGACTAATCTCATCTTACGTTACATCCCAACAATGTTCTACATTCTTATCTTGCAATGTAACAAAAAACTTTCCTCCACAGTTTGTTCCAGCTTAGCTTGCCCACAGTCAAAGGCTTTGCCTCACTTAATGCTACGCCACTGTCCTAATGCCTTTTAAAAATGCTCCATGCTGGGCCTTGAAATCCAGATCCCTCTGAACGCTGAGGAAGTTAGACTCAGCCTGAATCCTGGGTCTGTAGATGTTATGGATAGGCATACTAAGCCAAACAGAGTGTAAACTCAACATTTATGGTCCATCTCTAAATTTTGAGATTTATCTTTTCTGTGGAATCTTTTTTGGTTGAAGCTTTTAATTATGAAAGACTTGTGATCAGAAGACACGGAGCGCTCTTGCACATGAAAAAGCTAATCTAAGAGAAGTTATTTTTCTGCGATTTTGCAATTAGAAGACATTGCCACAGCGTTGCAATTGATGCAGACATTGTAAGAAAAAAGATTTGCTATTGACCAACCCTTTCTAACAGCTCTGCAGTGAATGCTGGTGCCAGGTGCTGCACAGGTAAGTTTCAGAAGAAGAGATTTTCTTTTGAGCAAAAAGAATAAGGAGAAAGACACAGTGGGACAGCAATCTCCAGACCTCGGCTGTCTCATAAAATGTCCTGGGTGGGATATATAGCTACCTGAAACTAAGGCGGTGATTGCCGGAACAGTACAACAAGGGGAGACTACCAGGTGATGCACACCAATGGTCTGGGGAGGGAGGGAGGGAGGGAGGCTTCTTTTAAGTCCTAGGGATAGTGTTTGATGCATGCTTGCTATGTAAAATCTTACTGCTGTTAGCATAAACTCTGAATAATGTGTTTTTGTTCTGTCTGTCTTCTCTCTCTTCTGGACTTGGCCGGGCCATGTACAAATCCCAATCATTCAACAGTACTGGAGAGTAGATAGTATTTACCTCAATAATGGTAGTTTCTTTTCGATTCTTTTTAACCCTCAATTCAGATGACGGTTCGAAGCCAACACCTACCATGGAAACCCAGCCTATTTTTGATGGAGAAGGTAAGAGCATCCCTTTAAAAAAAAAAAAAAAAAAGCTACTTCCCTCTCTCTCTATCCTAGGATTTATGGCTCAAACGCTTTCTTTATCCTGCAAAGCAGAAAAGCTAGTGAATCTCATAAGTTATCCAAATTTCACAGTGCCCTTGGGACCTCAGGCATTTTCCCTAATCCTTTTACATCCTCCTCTCTTCCCTGGAATCCAACAATAATACCAGTTGACCAGATTCCTGGGGTAACCTTGGAAGAAAAGGTGTCATGGTAAAAAAAATGTGCATTGAGTCAGACGTGGCAACTTCCTTTAGACTGTCCTTACCCCCTCACTCTCTCCACCCTTGTGAGACCAATGCTGTGAGTTTCATAACCTCTTCAATGCGTTACAGCTTCACGAAAGGGAGGGTAGTGCTAAACCACAGCTTGTGAATGTTGACTTGAAAGAAAATTGCTGGGAGGTTTCTTTATTTAGCAATTACTTTCATTGACGCACATACTATTTAAGCAAATGAAGTCAGTGTCCTGGGCCCACTTAATTCACAGCCCACCAAGGCAGTTTCCTTCTCAAATGGGCTAATCTTGCAATTGTATTATTTTGGAGAGGGAATATTGGACTTTAGTCCATTGGAAGCCTTGAAACAAGGATAAAATGGCTGTCATCACAGAGAGTTAGAGCCTTTTACACATAAACATAAATACCAGTGGAGGTAGTGGTCCTTGGGTAGTGAATGGGCCTATTAGCAGCTGCTTAGATCTTGCATATTGCTTAGTAGTGGTGCATGTTTTCTACAGATTTAAACCCCCAGCCATTATAGTGAAGCTATAGGCTGAAGTCTGAACCACTCTGTGACCCACCTGCAACTATGGACCTTAAGGCAGTGAAGGAAAGCCTGTTCATTGTCATACTGAACTGCTGTACTTGACACAATTTTTTTTAAACTGGATCAAAGGCAGAAATGGAGACTACTGAGCAAAAGCAGGTGGTGCTGTTGATACCTTCTGCCTTCTTGTAAAAACAGGTGATGGGGTGGCGTTTTTGTTGCTAAAATAAGTTCATTTAATGGCAAGATGCTGTAGTCCTGTCACTTCCATTTAATGATCATAGGTTTGTAAGAATCCTCTTGTGAACTTTAAGAAGCAAACTAAAGCCCTCAGAGCAAATTAGCATTCTCAAATAAACAGAAGAGACTGAAGCCATGCTGACTATCTCTTGTTTATATCAAAAGAAAGTTCCTCCTGGCAGCAAGCTGATGTATTAAATTGCTGTTTGTAATCACAGCATGCTTCTGGCCTTTAAGTTTTCCCTGAGAGGGTGCCCATAGATACTCAAAGGAAAGAATGCACTAGTAAAATGCAGGACTGAGCTGATCTGGTTAATACAGCCTGTTCAGAAGCTCCTTCTAGGAGAGACTCAGTATTTTGGTCATTCAAATAGAACTAGGCAAAGTTCTTGAGAAACAGTGTAGTGAACAGACCTTTTCTGGTCCATCTGGTGATGGGCAGAGTCTGAAAAAAAATCTAGTCCTGTCTTCTATGAAAAACATTTTCAATCAAAAACCTTCACTTTGGTTTGTAGGTAAAATCAAGTCTGATAAATGGGCTTGGACTGTATGATGAAAGATTGCTTCTCACAAATCTTGCAATATATTGTACAAGACCTTATCTCCTAGACTTCTAGAGAGAACGACTAATACAATGGCTTCCTGCTGTATTAGCAGTGTCCCTTATGACTTGGGAGAGGAGAGTATGAGTATGACAGGCAGATTAATCACGCTATGCATCGATGAATAACCTCTGCTAAGTTTGTCACTCTGTATTTTGTCATCCCTGTTAGTAAAATAGGACTAACTAGATTTCAGTGGTGGTTGTAGCGATAAGCTGGATCTGGCCAAAAGTTTGTATATCCACTACCTTTGAGCATACTGTCTCCAGCACTGGCTTAAAGTGGGGACATCAGGAAGAGTGTAAGAAGCGTTTAGCCTAGAGAAGACTTAAATGTGACCTAGTAGTAGCCTCCCAATACCTACAGGGAGGTTTATCAAGAAGATGAAGCTAGGCTTTTCACAGTAATGCATGATGAGAGACAACAGTCATAAATTGAAACAAAATGTTTGGACTGGATATAAGGAAAAGCTTAGTCACCCTGAGGACAATGAGACAGTGGAACAGATTGCTCAGAGAGGTGATATTCTGTCCTTCCTTTCTGAGCCAGCTGGATAAAACTGTGAGCAACCTGGTCTGTTCTTATAGCTGACCCTGTCTGGAGCAGAAGGTTGGACTGGACACCTCAGGATGTCATGCTGAACAATCTCTTGATTCTGTCTGAACAAACATGTCATGATACTTCATTAGAATACTATCCCAGTGTCTTAGGTAGGTCTTCCTGAGCAATGGCTTGTACTTGGTGTCTGACGCAAATGTAAGATGACAGAAAAGGGCAAAACAGTTATCCATTCACCTGTCAGGTCTGGACTCTTCATAGATGTTCAAAGGAGTTAAAGTCCGAATACCATTCAATTTCAGTGGGTTCGAGATCTGCTGGGGTCCTGAAAACATGTGTATTTGAAGTCAGGCAACCAGGATGGAGCTGATAGCAACATGAATGGACAACAAAAATGTTGAATTTTTTTCATGCTTTGTTTTTTGGTGCCTATCTTCAATCCACAAAGGGCTGACTTTTTTCAAAGGGCATTAAAAACACTCAGCTGCCCCTGAAATGTGTGATACCTCTTGGACCTCAGCATCTCCAAGATGAAAGGTGAACTTCTTTCTCATGTTTTCACCTACATTAGAGGATAATGAAAATTCAAATTTCAGGCATAATAAGTTCCCCTCCCACTCCTTACCATTCTCCCTGAGGGCATAACAGAGCAGTACCAGAGATAATGTAGATCAGATAACTTAAACTCTCCTGTCCAAGGTTTAAATCATAAAGCAGCCATCTCTCTAAAAATTATTTCACTTCATTACAATGCAGATCTCAGTGATGTTTATAGTGAATCTCCTCTTAGGACAAGATTCTCCTCTGCCTAAGAGTATTTGATTAATGGTCTTTGCTACAGTTTTAAATTTTAAAAAGTTTTATTTACTCCTGTACTTCTAGGCTCTGTTTTCTTTGCATCCACACTCTGTTAGTTTCAATGTGCCAGTTGTATTCATGTCCTGAAGAATAACTTCTTTAAACATGTTCTCTTTTTGGTAAACTTCACCTCTTAATTCAGTGGGAATCTACTCTTTCCACAGTTCTGTTGTTCAGAGGAGTCTATGTTGCTTACCAGTATTCCAAAAAATGTCCAGGTTAACTGGATGAAAAATACATTTTTCTGGTAGATCCCAAAGGATTAATTTCCTTTTCTTTTCCTTTCTCCTCTTTTCACACAACTCCTTTTTCTGCACCTTTCAACCTCACTTAAAGATATGCACCACTGTGTCTCTAAAGGCGCTGACCCATTCTTCAGCATCTATTGACTTTGGTTGTCCCTCCTTTTTCAGCTGTAGACATACCCATACAAGTCCATACAGGGCAGAGGCAGAACTAAATTTCATCCCAGATTTAGGAGTTTGGATCCAGCACTTTGGTTTATGGACTTTTTCTACTTTTGTGCTTCTCCCCTTCCTACCTCTCACCCAGTGTTTAATATGATGTAGTTCTCCCCCCAAAAGGCCCGAAGTATATAGGTATATGTATTTGTAGGAGCACATCATGACTGAGTGATGATAGTGTAGTGAAACCTGCAAATAAGGCAATCTTTGTTAAGCAAACTTTTATTACTGCTGGAATGTCAGTGTTCAACTTGTATTTCCATATGCAAAAATGCCCTGAACATGATTACAATAATGCCTACAATGAATGTAGCTGAAAACATTTAGAAAGGAAAAACTCCCTTTCATTTTTCCTTCATGCTCTTATAATGTATAATCAGTTTCTTGAGTAGTCAGCCAGCTTCTCCCTTGCTGAGCAGATCCATGTAAATGTCAACAATAGAGCAGGAAAACTCTTGTAAAAACTTCTTAGAGCAACTTAAGACAAACTCCAGGATCTAGTATTTAAAGCATGGTCTTGTGGAAAATGAAAATTTTTCAGAAAAGTGTCAGTTCTGAAAATGTCACTTTAGGAGCTCTAGCACATCATATTGAGTACTGCTTTTCTCAGTTCTAATCAAATGCTGATGTTGTGTCATTTCTGTGGCTTAGGGCAGGTTCTGCTGTGTTTTGATGTTGATCGTAACACCTCAGAGGAGGTGCTCTAAGCACTTTTTTCTCCACAAATTTATGTTTGGATGTCTTGGGTGTAGTGCATCAGACGTGCTTTTCTAACCAGAACTTGTTTCTTTAACAGACTTCCTTTTAAGTCTTTCCAGAAATATCTTTGTTTCTCTGCCTATTTATTTCGGATTTTGTTATTGCTTGTTTTAGGGAACTGACTGTGGTCGGCTCTTCTTGGGCTGTTAAAGCAATATTTAAGGTCTGGATTGACTTTTTTTTAATCTGGATTTTGTACATGGAAACCAACATATACTATAGTATACAACATAACCTTTGAGATCTCTAAGTCTCAAGGAAAAAGGCTTTAGACTTGAGCATTTGGGAAGTGGCGTGGAGAGGGAGGAAAAAAAATGTTTTTCAAGCAGAGAGGTACTCTCTGGAATGGGAAGATAATGAGATAACTTTGTGGAAGATTTACAAATAGTGGTTCATAAGAGGTGGAGTACTTCACTAGGGGATGAGCCGATCTCTACAAAGGTGATGGATCAGTTAAGGCATGATTGTAGCAAGCATCTTGTCCTCATGAGTAACAACCATGTGTATTCACTAGTTGCTGTAGTTTCTTTAAGGCAGTTATTTTTTCTCTTTCAGAAATCACAGCACCTACCCTTTGGATTAAGCACTTGGTCATCAAAGATTCCAAACTGAACAGCTCCAGTATAAGGAATTCAGGTAATGTTCCATCAAAAAAAAAAAAAAGTTTCTTTTAACTAGGCTGCAGTCCCTCAGTGTCTGTTCTTATTTCACTCTTTCTTCATTGTAGCTATCCTGCTGCTTTTCAGTGTTGCAGGACGTGAAGTGCAGGCTATAAAATAATTTCAGATAGCATCCTTTTTTGTGTCCAGAAGGCCACAGCTGATGTGTGATGAGGGATGTTTCTGTTTCCCCAAACCGTAACTGGGGAACCTCTAATTTCTTCATCTGTTAATTCATCCCAACCAGCTGTCATCTTTATTCTGTTTGCTGTTCAGCAGTCTTTCAAGGATGTACAAACTGATGCATTTAGCTCTGAAATCTGGGCTGTGGTTTTGGTCTAAGCAGTTGAGAAAATACAGAGAGGGGCTTCTTTTCTAGCAATTTCAAGATTCTTCTCTGCAGGGGATTTGTCTGATAGAGAAATGATTGGATTATTTCACAACTGAAAGTAAGTTACTTATGTCTGGGCCTAAATAAATGTTGAGATTATTTTTGTGGGTAATAGAGTGGATGAGGGAAGACCCAAGCATAAAAAACAGCAAAGAAAAGATCATGAACATAAGTGGGAAAAGGGGGAGCCAGAAGATGTAAAGTTGGGATGTAAAACTTGAGATTGGAGATGAGGGTGAAACTGTGTGGAGTCACTGAAATCGCAAGAAACTGGAAGAATCTGAAAAGGAAAGTTAGGGATTCTCCATAAGAATGGTTTCTATCTGATATATTTCAACTGAAGTGGGAGAAAGGAAGAAAGTAAAGGGAATATCAAAAGAAGAAAATTGCCTTAAGGAGCCATGGGTTTACTTTAAAGTTTAAATAGGAGCTGCTACTATTGCATATATTTTATGAAACAATATATGTCTAAAACAGCTGTTGAGAATAACTCCAGTCTCCAGAACAGATAAATTGTGATAGCTTGAAGTACCTCGTCACCTGGTATTTCTGGATTAGTCTATTCATGGCACTCAGCAGTTCCTTTAAACTTCCTGTGCCACTTCCCAGCTGCAGGGTGAAATCAGTGCTAGGTTAGGTGAGATTCTCTTGCTGCAGAGTGGAGAAGAGCTCTTGGCAGGAGGGCATTCATCATTGTCTAGACCCCAGTTTTAGCAACAGTCTCCTGTGTGTCACCTCCTGACTGTTTTTGTAGCAGGGTGGTCTGTGTAGGAGGAACTGCCAGTGGAAATCATCCAGAAACTTCAGATGATGATCAGCATTCTTCTTTAAGGATGTCTTTCATGGGAGAGTAAATGCAGCTTGTGTTTTGTGAGCTGCTGGGAGAGCCAGCAGCTCACAGTGTAATTGAAGGTGACAGTTTAATATTAAAAATCCTATGTAGTGGCTCCTACCTATCTTGGAGACTAACTTTCCTCCTAATGCAGCAAACCTGGTAGCTGTGATGGAAATAAGAGTTCCTAGATCTGGGTTCTAGAAGGCTAAGGTGACAGTTTAATATTAAAAATCCTATGTAGTGGCTCCTACCTATCTTGGAGACTAACTTTCCTCCTAATGCAGCAAGGCTACATTCCTCCTAATGTAGAAGGCTACAAAGGGACTTGGGAGCGGGACGGTCTTTTACTTGAGAGCCTGTCTCCCACTGTTTCTTGGCCCGACAGAGGCAAAGTAGTCTGGCTTTCACGTTGTCAGGGCAATTGGTTTGTTCAAGTGTTTCCTCAGGAAGCTGCCTGGTGTAAACAGGAGTTTCATTCATGGAAGAGTTCCTTTTGTGACTTTACTATTGCCAACTTTTTTTTTTCAATTGGTTCTGATGTAATTTCTATTATTCAAACAAGATTATTGTGGGTGCATGCTACAAATAGAAAATAAATCATCTTTTGGAAAATTCAAGAGTTCCTTAAGAGGCGGTTTCTACGGCAAGCTAAAAGGAGATGTGTGGTTCATCTAACTCAGCTTTACTGATTGCCCTGACAGATGCTCGTTTGCTGTAGGATCTCATTAAGAGACTGGGTTGCCAATTTTGAGCCCCAAATTTCCACATTAGGCCATACAAATACACAGCCACCTCCATTTCTTACACTGCATTATTGATATCAAGAAACGCTGCATCATCAAAATAGGGCTATGGTTTAGCTGATATTGGGCATGGGCTACTTCAGTCTGTTTCTTTTGACCAGTGAAGCCCAGTCCCCTTGTTTGGTACCTTTCATTCCTTTCATCCCTTGTCATATATGTTAAAAGGCAATGTAGGGTAGGGATCAAACAACAAAGAGCTGGGGAGGATAATTATCATTTAGAATGAGGTTCTTCAAATGTCTTCAAGTCTGTCTTGGCTGAAGATGATGAAACAGCTGTCATGAGATGGGCATGCAAAATTTGGGGTTTTTTTAATTGCTTTTGGCCCTTGTCAGCTTGAAATATTAATGCTCAGCACATTCCTGATTTTTCATTTATTTTTAAAGGGTTAAGGTAAGTTTTACTAGCACAAGATTGTATTTTTGGTTTTGGTATTCACTCAGCTATATTGTCTCTCTGAGCTTGCACTTACTGTCTTGAAGCAGATACAGCCTGGTATCCTCTTGCAGCAATTTAATGGGATCACTGAAATTAGAGGTGAGAAAAGACCTAGTAGGTCATCTAATCTACTGCCTTAAGGCTAGTGAATGTGTGTACTGTATGAAGAGCAGCATTTTCTACTGTAACGTAAATGCCTTAGGCAATAAGGATTTCACTTCTTCCCACAGGAAGCTGCTCTGCTGTCTGAACTCAATCTCAGGATTTTTCTTTTTGCAATATCCAGCCTAAATCTTCTTTTATTTCTGTTCTTTTTCATTAGTCTTGAGTTCTTGAAAGGCTGCCCTATTCCTTGGAGTTTGTATAATGAAACACTTAACCCTGATCTCTCTCCTCCCTGCAGTGGTTCTATAGCCCTGTCCTTTGCAGTGAAGACAAGTCCAGTAGATACTACTGTCAGAGGACGTGTGCTGCTCTCTAATCAGCACTGGCATTGGCCGTCTTCAAAAGCTAGCACCATTACTATATCAACCATGAGGAGAATTTAAGAATGGAGACAAATAGGCTCTGTAATTTGCTGTCACTGTCTCTGGTCAATGTTAGGCTTCAGAGTGAACCAACCACCAGGTGACTGAGCGTTGCAGAGCTAGTGAACACCCCATGTTGCATATGCAGCCTGTACCTCATAAGACCTGCATTTGAAATCTGAGGGTTCCACCTTCCATTTAGTGTTGACAAACAGAAGAGGTTCTCCTGAAACAGTCCTCTCTTTTGGAGCATTTACATTTTGCTTGGCATGTGTAAATACTAATTAAGCTAGGGATCAGGAAAAGCAGAATGACTCTAGCCTGGTGATTAGAGCACTTGACTGAGAATCTGTATGTCTCCAGGTGTTTTGCCAGTGAATTTTTCCATGCTAAGTAAAAGAGCATTGCTAGGAGTGATCACCAGCGCTGTTACCCCAGCCCACCTTAAAGAATGAAATTACGATTAGATCTCTTTCTCAGTAGGGTGAGATGCAGGTTCAAATCTTCTCGGCCAGAGGCAGGAACCAAAATACAAACATGCTCTAACATCTGGACTATTGAGTAGCAGGAAAGTTACTGTTTTTCTACACTTAAAAACTAAGTCTTCTGCCTTTATGAATCCTAAAAGCCCAGAAGTCAATTTTTCTTTTCAGGGCAAGTGAAAGATCTAGATCAACACAGTATTTTGTTTGCTGTGGCAAGCTGACAAAAAACATTTTTTGATGTTTGTTTTGAATTGATTTTCACCTTCCCCAAACATGCACACCTGCGTGTGCATGCACATACCCCAAACTAAGCCTGTTATTTAGCACTGCCCTCTGTGATATGTCATGTGCTCCTCCAGAGCAGGAGGCAATACAGATGGGACCTTTGCAATGGCCATTCTCTAATCAGCATGGGTGGGAACTGTCTTTTCATTCTACTTTTACTGTTTCAGCCTCCTACTTTTCTCCCTACTCCTGCCAACCTGTTCCAGCCTGGAACAGTCCAAATGATTATTTTTTTACAGTTCTTAATCTAGAGAAACACTTGATAATGTATCTTGCTTCCAAGAAAATAAATCTAATGGCTGCCTGTTTGGGAGCACCCCATCTCCACTGAGGAATCCATGGTTGTTCCTCACTTCCAGAGCTGAGTTATCTCCAAATCTATTTGTGCTACTTAGTGATTTGGTTTTAGTTAGCAAGAGATTCCAGCCTGTATCCAGCTTACCCTGACAACCTTTAAGAAAACCACAGAGTGATGTAATGAGCTCATGCATGGAAAAATAAACAGCTCTAGAGAAACCAGCGGTAGCAGCCTGAAGTAAATATTCTACAGTCACTGGGGTTTTGAACATGACGTTTTTTGAAAGGAAGAATGAGTAATATATTAAGGTTAGCAGCTGAAGACAGGTTTGTGCGTGCCTAGTTTAAAAAAAAAAAAAAAGAAAGAAAAAACCTATAGCTGTTTATTTCAAAATCTTGCTTGTTGAATGGGGGCCAGCTCCATGTGGCCTATTCTGTTCAGCTCTGGCACCCAAGCATCATGCAGGCATCTCATGTGACAGCTTTCCAGAGATAGAGCTTTCTGCTGTCAGGAGCTCTTAGTGGGTGGGGTATAACTGTAAATGAGCTTTGAAAACAAGAATGATGGTATTCACATTTCTTTTTGTTAATTGAATTCACTTGGAGCCCAGACTTTATGGCTTCTCAAAGGGAGAAATAGCTTGGAAGCTGCATGTCTGTATATCCTTTTGCAAGAAGCAGAAACACACCCACCATCCACCCCAAAGGCAGTTTGCGTACTCTTGGGTGCAGTTTGTCTCCAGAAATCCGCACAGTGAGGTGGGATGGTATTATATCAAGTCTACTACCAGGACGGTTCTCTGGTTTGTCTGTGTTCCTTCCTTAAGCTTTTTCCCACTTGCAGAAAAAAAAGGCAAGAAAACCCACATGGCACCCCAAAATAGCTCTCTCTTTTTAGTAGTCACCTAGGAAGTGA